TAGGCAATATGATCTTCTTATGATATGCCAAGAAATTAAAAGTTAGAGCACCTAAACAACTTTCTCAAGTTTACAAAGTGAAGTGAACAAAATTGTGACTTAAATACATATTTTCTTGGATCTGAGTATTAATATTACTGACAAAATAATTATAGTAATAATAATGGTGAAGATTTATTGAGTTATCACATGCCAGCATATAAGTGCTTTACATTATATCATATAATCCTTACAAGAATTTTATTAAGTAGTTACTAGTATAATTATTCTAGATAGAGCTCAGTACCTAGAGTTTGAAATAGAATTTAAATAACTAAACCAAACTAGTAATTGGTGGAGGTAATATTCAAGCCCTAGAAATTATCTCTTAAGTATATCCTGTTGTCCCTAAAGACTGTGCCCTTTCCAATATGGCACCCCTCATCTTACAGATTGACTGACACTCACCAACAATTATATTATCATTTTTAAACTCATCATCCTAAGATCATTTCCAGGTTTTTGTACTTTTAATGAATTCTTCAGAAAAGTAAGATTAATGAAAATCAAAATGCTGGAAGACAAAGTTAGAGAGATAAATTGGAAAACTGAAAAATTTGCCCATGTAAATTGAGCTCTGGACTCTTTTGGTAATTTAAGCATAACTGTTTTTGCTTATTTGTTCAATTTAGCTTGAGAATTATCTCACTTCTCCACCTCACTGAACATATCTGTGTGTAGGGACAATGTGAAGGAGTGTTCTTTTCATAATTAGACAATAATACAAGATATTCACTGTAAAATATATGAATTTGGCAAGCCATATTTATATCATTTATAAAAATTTTAATGCCACTTGTGAATCTTGCATCCTAGGCTTTCTACCTGTGGCATCCCAGAATTCAAGTCGCTTGCAAAAAATTTAGATTGGAATATTGTAGGCTGTCTATTTACAAATGCCTTAACAATCTACCCTATGGGATTTTGTTGTTTGTTTTTTTGGGGGGGTTTTTTGGTTGTTCTTTTTGTTGTTGTTGTTTGCTCTTGATCGAAAGATCTTCAAGGGAAATGGGATGTAAGATGCAGATCTACATTTTGCTTATCATGATGAAAATCCTTCTGTTAAATGTTGAAGAATCATAAGTCTAAACTGGCTTGTGCTTTTCCCCAGAGTCTATAGAACACTCACTGTGACTGTGTAGTTTCATTTCTGTTGAAAGAAAATTTAGTCTCAATTCAGTGATTATAATGCTATGTTGTATTAATAAGCCTCCTATTATGCTAAACCAGCTGGACACACTTGACTAGCTCTGGAAGGCAGTGGATGAATATGTTAGCTGTCTGGCCCAAGTTCTAACTTTCCATCTGTGAGTTGGCCCCATTTGCCGATACTGCTACTTGGGAGATTATTAATAAAGTTAGACAAGTGTTTATAACAACAGTAGAAAGGTGGGCACAGAATGGGAAGACAGAGAAGGTCTTTGAAAATACAACTGTTACTATTCATTAGGCTTTTCAAACTTAGACCTCTTATATTTGAGAAAAAACTCAGGCTCTGGATAAAAGAGTTCTAGGAGGTTTTTCAACTCAGTTCAGTTTAGTTTGACAAATACTGATTCACTAACCCACTAAGAGTGAATCCAAATGGTTTATTTTTCTTCAGTAACAGTGTATTTTTGGGTACAGCCACAGACTGAGTAACCCTGGATGTGACTTTTCAAACAAATCTCAGGAAAGAACCAAACATGAGGCAAGTCCAGGAGTTTTCTTTCTTTCTTTCTCTTTTTTTTTTTTCCAGATTCTCATTCATTCTCTCTCCCTCTCCCTCTCTCTCTCTCTCCTTCACCCCTTTTGCCTATTTAGCTATCAATTTTCTTTACAAAGAATAATTAAAACATAGATCATAAGGGTAAATATTCAATTGTTTTCTTCAAAGACAAAGATATCTACTGAGAAGAATTATATCATTGAACAAGAGTGAAAATAACAACTTTAATCATATACTAAAATACTTTATGTACTTTACAAATAGTATAATTTCTTACTAATATTCTGACATATTTATAATGCTCTGTCATATATAAAGATGTTCTGATTTTCAGGAATTTGCAATGTGATAAAAAGCTTTACTGCCCTTCCTTAAGATAAGATTTCATGAGATTTTTCAATAAACATGTATAAGGAACCACTATATGTCAAGCAGGACTCTGAACATTTAGCCAGAGAAAAAAATGCAAAGGCATATGTTCACAAGATTATGTGCTGAGTGTGATAATAGAGGTAGACCAAGGGTACGTGTTACTATGGATTTCTAGAGACAATGTGTAAGAAAAGTTGTGAGACAAGACTTCAAAGAATAGCAGAGTTAATCTATTCCTTTAAGATAAAGGAGTTTGCTATCAGGAAAAAAGCCAGAGGAAGAATATTCTAAATCCTACAAATCTGAGAGATAATGATAGATGATATTCATGGAGCAATTGTTGGACATTATACTAAAATTCTAAGAATGAGCTAGCTCATTAAATTTTGATTTAGAAAAAATGTTTTATGTACTAGGTAATCTGATTTCAATTGTAAAAACAAAGATGCTAAATCTCAAATTGGTTAAGCAACTTACCAAAGATCAGAGAACTAACAAATGGTAGTGCCATTATTTAAACTAAGACAATATGACCACATAACCCATGCTTGTTTGTTTCAAGCTTTTATTTAAATTCTAGTTAGTTAATATATCATATAATATTGGTTTCAGGAATAGAATTTTTAGTGATTCGTCACCTACAATAGCCAGTACTCACCACAACAAGTGCCCTTCTTAATAACCATCACCCATTTAGCCCACCCCTCACCCACCTCTCATGCTTTTAAATAATACTTTATACCTCTTCCCAAAGGTCCTGAGATAGCATTATGTTTCCAAGAATTATTAATAAGGTCAATGAGGTACTTGCTTAAAGTAGAATATATATGTATCTGTTACCTGTATCTATGGTATAGTTTACTCTTGGTCTCTCAAAAAATAATTACTCAAGACACATAATTATGTCTTTATTGTTTTGCACTCAACATGAGACTCTAAATTCCTTAAAACACAATATTGATTTTTTTTTATCTTCACTTCTCACTGGTACTGAATAAAGTAAGAAATTCCTTTTTTTCTTTTTTTTTTTCACCTATTCATCCTCTTTCTAATTAGTTTCTTTTTTGTTAAGAAATCACTCATTTTAATCCATGAGTTAGGTGAAGCTAACTTCACCCTAAGTGTGATATACACCATCCAGAAAAATAAGAACATCATATACCTCTAAACACAAAGATTGGTTTCATAGATGACATATGACCCCATCATAACGAATGAAAAATGCTCTTGGAGTTTACGGGGGTGTCTTGAAAAGAAAGAATTACTCTTTCTACTCAGATTTATGACAGAATATTATACAATGCAGGAGTTACCGTTAATCATCTTTTTACCACATTTTGGCAATAATTCTTATTCTGCCTAAGTACAAAAATAATAATGAAGAAAGACATATGACATTATTTGAGTCCCATCTGTGGATAATAATTGATATTAATTCAACATATGAGCTTCATTTATGTAAATTAATACCAATATTTCTTGTTTAGGCTAGTTTAAGTATGACTTTGTATGGCTTAAAACAACAGAAAGCTATTATTTCATGGTCTGAAGGCCAGAAGTCTAAAATCAGTATCACTAGGCCAAAATCAAAGTGTCAACAGTGCTATACTTCTTCCTCTTGTTGGCTGTTGACAGTTCCTGGCCTGTAGCCACATCACCCAAGGCTTCATGGCCAAAATCTTCTAAATCTTCAAATCTTTGAGGCCCCTGTCTCATGTTCATATCTCCTTTTACCATCTATGTATAAAATCTCCCTGGGGTTCCCTTTTATAAGGATATATGCATTGTTTTTAGAGTCTACCCAGGTTATTTACCCAGAGATGGATAATCTCTCCATCTCCAAATCCTGACTTAATCACAACCACGACTCTTATTTTGCCATGTAAGATAATTCACATGTTCTAGGGATTAGGATATGGATAACTTTCAGGGGGACATTTTTTAGCCTACCACAACTCCCAGTCACCCCTACTTCCCAGTAGTCAGTCACATACTTGCATAATATCCTTCCACTGAGATGGAGCTGGACCTAACAACTTGCTTCTAATGAAGAGAATATGGCAAAAATGATATAATGGCACTTCTATGATCAGGATATAAAACACTTTGACTTCCATCTTGCCAGTCTTCTGTCTTTCCATTGCTTTCTTGGCTTACATATCTTGATGAAGTGAAGTGGCATGTTAGATGGGCCTATCTGGCAAGGAACTTAGGGAGGCCTCTGGAAATGTGAGAGTCTTAGTCTAACAGCACATGAGGAACTGAATCCTATCAGCAGCTATGTGAATAACCCTGGAAGCAGAATCCTGCTCCAGTTGAGTGTTTTGGTGAAAATACTTTAGCAAACACATTGATTATAGCTTATGAGAGATCCTGAAGCAAAGGACTTTGTTAAGCCGTTTCCAGATTTCTGATCCACAGATATTGTGCTATGATGATTTTTAAGCTACTAAATTTTCAAATAATTTGTTAGGCAGTAACAAATAATTAACAAGATATAAGTAAATATTCATTGAGTTTAGTGATAAATGAATGAGACTTCTCAGTGTGAACAGTTGGTCTATGTGTGATAGAAAATGGGTAAGGACAGGAGAAAGGCATGATGTGAAAACAGATTCAGGTACAGTAGTCAAGCAATGATAATTTGAAATTGCCACAGAGATGGTATACTATTCTGTGTTACTGAATGGACAAATTTTACCTGGGTATAAACTTAAAATATCTACTAAAGAGTATATATACATGAAAACTTTGATCAATGTAGAAAAAGCCATTGAAGTGACTAATTCTGTGGGAAAATGATACAAATGTTCTCTTTACTCTCTTTATTTTCTGAAAACTTGTATATGTGTCTACTATCATTATGTAATAACCACAAACATTTCAGTGACAAATAACAATAAGCATTTTATTTTGCCTACATATCTACAGTTTGAATGAGTAGGTAGATGAGCTGATTTGATGAATTTCATCTAAGCAGCTCTAATCTGTAGGTTAACTCTCAGACTAATCTACAAACTTCTCATCTCCCTGGAACCAGCTGGCTAGCCAGGATGTATTCTTCTTATGGCACTGGAAAGAGGACAAGTGAAAATATTCAATGGCTCTTAAAAACAGTTGCCAGATAAAATATAGCATGTCTAGTTAGATTCAAAATTCAGAAAAACAACAAGCACTTTCAGCATAAGAAAATATATGGGGCATAAAACATTTGGGGCATGCTTATATAAAATATTTGGGACATATTTATCTAAGATATAGTTATTATTTATTTGAATTTCAAATTTAACTGAACATCCTGTAGTTTACTTGCTAAATCTGGTAATCCTAGTCTTAAACCATAGGTATGGAACTGGTATAGCATTGCTTCTATCCAAATTTTATTGGCCAAAGAAAGTCAAATGGCAGAGCCTAAAGTAAAAGGTCAGTACATATATGCCATGGAGGTGAAGAAAGGTCAGTACATATTTTGCACAACAATCTAATCTACCATGATTTGTCAAGACTTGTAAAAAGATCAACAAAACATAAATTAGATATCTTAAACTTTTCTTTTTAATTCTGAAAAACCTGTACATAGTATGTTAGCAGTGTAAAATAACATTGGAGGTTCCATAGGCTCTAAAGTAAAATTAGTCTTATAGGTTTATAGAAAAGGTTATATACAAATACTTCCCAATAATATGTCACTAGAACTTCAATACCCATTTCCTAAAATAATAGTATTTTTTCTATTTCAATTCCTCCATGCATAATTTTGTGCCTATTTGTATTAAAATAATTCTGTATTTATCTGAATACTTCTTTTGTATCATACCTGTCTATAAAGCAAATTTGTTTTACCTATGGGTTAGAATATCTATTCCAAGAACAGAATATGTTTATTTGTTGAAAGTTTTCTTTTTATTAAAAAAATTAAGAGTATTTTTAAAAGCAGTTTTAGGTTTGCAGCAATGTTGAGGGGAGAATATGGAGATTTCCTATATAATCCCTGCCCCAACACATGCATAGCTTCCCCGAATTATCAACATCAGATACCATAGTGGTACATTTGTCACAATTGATGAACCTTTATTAACACATTAGAATCCCAAAGCCTATAGTTTACCTTTAAGTTCTCTCTTGCTGTTGTATATTCTATGGGTTTGGACAACTGTATAATGACATGCATTTCATTATTATGGTATCATATAGAGTATATTTCACTGCTTTAAAATATCCCCTATGATCTACTTATTCATCTTGGTTGTTTCCAAGTTGTGGCAATTATAAATTAATCTGTCATGAACTTCTATGTTTAGGTTTTTATGTGGAGATAAGTTGTCAATTTCTTTGGGTAAAGTAAATACCAAGGAATATGACTGCTGCATCTTATGGTAAGAGTATATTTAGTTTTGGAAGAAGCTGCCAAACTGTCTTCCAAAATGGCGATAGCATTTTATATGCCCACCAGCAATCAAGAAGAGTTCCTGTTGCTTCACATCCTCATCAGCATTTGGTGTTATGAGTGTTCCAGATTTTGTCCATTTCAATAGGTCTATAGTGGTATTTCATTGTTGTTTTCATTTGCATTTCCCTGGTGACACATGATGCGGAGCACGTTTTCATATGTTTATTTGCCATCTGTATATCTTCCTTAGTGAGGAATCTCTTAAGATCTTTTGTCCATTTTTAAAAATTAGGTTTATGTTTTCTTATTGTTGAATTTTAAGAGTTCTATCTATATTGTGAATAACAGTCCTCTATCAGATATGTCTTTTGCAAATATTTTCTCCCAGTCTGTGGCTTGCCTTCTAATTTCCTTGACAGTGCCTTTCACAGCACAGAAAGTTTTAATTTCATTTAAAACAGAAGTTTTTAAGTTTCAGTTTCACAGCATGCAAAGTTTTAAGCACAGCTTATCAATTATTTTTTTAAGCATCATGCTTTTGGTGTTGTATCTAAAAAAGCATCATCATACCTAAGATCATTTAGGTTTTCTTCTCTGTTATCTTCTAGATGTTTTATAGTTTGGTAGTTTATATTTAGGTCTGTGATCCATTTTGAGTGTGTTTTCTTGAAAGGTGTAAGTTCTCTGTCTAGATTTTTTTTTTTTTTTTTGCATGATGTCCAGGTGTTCTAGCACCATTTGTTGAAAAGACTGTCTTTGTTCCATTCTATTGCCTCTGCTCCTTTGTTAAAGATCAGTTGACTATATTTAAGTAGGTCTATTTCTAGGCTCTCTATTTTGTTCCTTTGATATATTTGTCTATTCTTTCACCAATACTGCATTGACTTGATTACTGCAGCTTTATAATGAGTCTTAAAGTTTAGTAGTGTCCATCTTTCAACTTTGTTCTTCTGCTTCACTACAGACATGACTATTTTGGATTTGTCTCTTCATATAAACTTCAGAATCAGTTTGTTGATATCTACAAAATACCTGCAGAGATTTTGTTTAGGATTGCATTGAATCTATAGATTGACTTAAGAAGAACTGAAAAAAAATTTAAGTATGCTTTTGTATGGATTATTTTATAAAATCAGAGCTGATTTTTAAAAGTTTTTATTTAAATTCCACTTACTTAACATACAGTGCTATACTGGTTTCAGGCATACAATATAGTGATTTAACACTTCTATACATCACCCTGTGTTCATTACAACAAGTGTACTCCTTAATCCCATCACATATTTAACCCATCCCCCTATTCACCTCCCTTCTGGAAATCATCAATTTGTTCTCTATACATAAGAGTGTGTTTCTTGGTTTGCCTCCCTCTCTTCCCCCCATCCCCAAGGTCATTTGTTTTGTTTCTTAAATTCCACTTATGAGTGAAATATTATTTCATATTTCATATTCATGAACATATTTCATGTTATTTGTCGTTCTCTGACTCCTTTATGTCACTCAGCATGATATTTTCTAGGTCTAGGGGTGCCTGGGTGGCTCAATTAGCTAAGTGACTCTTAATTTCAACTCAGGTTATGATCTCATGGTTCATGAGTTTCCTGTCTGCACAGTACTTGCTTCAGATCCTCTGTCGCCTTCTCTCTCTGCCCCTCTTCTGCTTGTAATCTCTCTCTTTCTCTTTCTCAAAGTAAATAAACTTAAAAATACTCTCTAGCTCCATCCATGTTGTTGTAAATGACAAGGTCTCATTGTTTTTTATGGCTGAGTCACAGACACACACATACGTACATACATACATACATACATACATACATACATAAATACATACATACTATATGTTCTTTATCCATTCAGCTGTTGATGGACACTGGGGCTGTGTCCATAGTGTGGCTATTGTAAATAATACTGCTATAAATATTGGGATGCATGTATCCCTTTGAATTAGTATTGTCGTATTCTTTGGGTAAGTACTTAGTAACAAAATTGCTGGATCACAGGGTAGTTTTACTTTTAACTTTTTGAAGAATCTCTATGCTCTTTTCCAAAGTGGCTGCACCAGTTGGCATTCCCATCAACAGTACAAGAGGGTTCCCCTTTCTCCACATTCTCGCTAACACCTCTGGTTTCTTATGTTGTTAATTTTAGCCATTCTGACAGGTGTGAGGTGGTATCTCATTGTAATTTTGATTTGTATTTCCCTGATGATGAGTGATGTTGAGCATCTTTTCATGTATCTGTTGGCCCACTGTATGTCTTCTTTGGAAAAAATAATCTATGTTGTCTGTCCATTTTTAAAATTGGATTATTATTTTTTGAGGTATTGAGTTTTAAAAGTTTTTTTTTTTTATATTTTGAATACTAACCCTTTATCTGGTATGTCATTTGCAAATACTTTCTCCCATTCTGTAGGCTGCCTTTTAGTTTTACCGATTGTTTCCTTCAGTGTGTAGAAGCTTTTTGTTTTAATGAAGTCCCAATAGTTTAATTTTGCTTTTGTTTTCCTTGCCTCAGGAGACATATCTGGAAAGAAGTTGCTATGGCTGATGTCAAAGAAGTTACTGCCTGTGTTCTGTTCTAGGGTATTTATGGCTTCAGGCCTCATATTTAGGTCTTTAATCCACTTTGCATTTATCTTCATGTATGATGTAAGAAAGTGGTCCAGTTTCATTCTTTTGCATGTTGCTTCCAGTTTTCCCAACACCATTTGTGGAAGACACTGTCTTTTTCCCTTTGGCTATTCTTTCCCACTTTGTTGAAGATTAATTGGCCATATAGTTGTGGGTTCATTTCTGGGCTTTCTATTCTGTTCCATTGAGCTTGTGTCTATTTTTGTGCCAGTACCATACTATTTTGATCACTAAAGTTTTGTAATATAACTTGAGGTCTGGAATTGTGATGCCTCCAGCTTTGCTTTTTGCTTTTAAGGTTGCTTTGGCTATTCGGGTCTTTTGTGGTTCCAATCAAATTTTAGGATTATTTGTTCTAGCTAAAATCAGAGTCCATTTAAACATCTCTGTTAATCTTGATTTAGTAAGAGAGATTTTTTACTCTAGATTAATGTATCATTCTCTCTTGTCCTAGTTTGGGTGTGGTTTGTATTTACTCAGCTCCTGCTAAATGCTCTGACATGACATACCATTATAAATAAAAGGTAAAGGAATATTAATTATCTCATAGTAGGAATCATTCAGAAAAAACAGGCAAGAAAGAACACTGACAATGTGGGAGCATATCTTTACTATTTGAATGAGCAAACTATCATGGGAGGCACATGGCCTTTTGGATGCCTTATATGCATTGATTCACTCATTTATTAATTATTCAGTCTACAAGCATTTCTTGTGTCCACAACATAAAAGACATCATGCTATATGCTGAGAAAAGAATGAAGACGGCACCAATCATCTAAAATAATACAACAAATGCCTTTTTCCCTCAGTACAAGATAATATGCCACAGCTTTACATATACTGTTTCATGTAATAATCACTGTGAGCCATCTAAGTTGGGAGTTTTATTACTCATTATACCAGTTAAGAAATAGGGCTATGAGGCTGGACTTTCCAGTGATTAGAAAGTTAATGATTCATGTAACCAGAAATTAAAACCAAATCCTTTTTCTTCCCTCTTCTAGAAACCATGCTCTTTATCCTGATTTCAATGTCTGATAAGGAAAACT